GGGCCCTCGGCGGCCTCCACGCCGTCGCAGCTGTCGCCCTCCGAGCTGGGCGCTGCCCGGCTGCTTCGGGCCGACGGGGAGTCGCTGGCCCCGGCCTGGCCCTGGCTCCCGGCCTGAATCTCCTCAATGAACAGTTCTCTGCGGATCCGAGACCTGCGAGACACAAGTGGGGGGGGTGGTGACGTGAGCGGGGCCGCTGGGCGGGGGGGGGGTCTGTCACCCCAGCCCCCAGCCCCGCCGGTTCCCAGACTCCGTGCCTTTGCCTGAGTCGTCCCTTGGGTGGGTGCCAGCCCCCTCTTCCCCACGAGGACGGCGCGCCAGTGTGACTTGTTTAATGGCACGCTCCCACCATCCCCGTCCCGCCCCGCCCCCCAGCAGGTTGTGGATGGCGGGGTCCCGTTCTCTGCACACCCCGGGCCGGGCATGGTGCTTGGCACACAGTAATACACGCTGACTGAACTGACAGCTGGAAATGCAAGATGGGTGCGAACCACTGCTTCCTCATCAGGACTTGGTAAGAGAGAACCAATACTCATTGCCCAAAGCGAGAAACTTCAGCGTCGCGCTCTGAGCCACAGGTCAGGGGTCAGGGCCCTGGCAGGGTTCCACGCAATTATGTTTCAACCAGTTCCCTCCCCTAAGAGGAGAAGACCAGGGAAGGGTCACTTTTGATCAAGCAGGAAGGAGACCAAATATGCGCTCCGACACATCAAGCATGTTGTAATCAAGCAGAGAGTTCCCCCTAGCGGGGAACGTGTGCTCCCTTACTTTGTTGGGTCTGAAGGAAACAGCTACAGGCGGGCCCAGGCCTTCCCTGTTTTGGGGCCCTTGGTGACATCAAGAAAGGGCTCTTGTTAAGTCTGCTTAGAATTTCTCCTTCCATCTGCTCACAGTACTAGGCTCAATCAGAACTCTCTCTACATGGTTATTCCAAAGAGCTGAAAAGCCTCTGATCAATGTGCCAACTGTTAGTGGCATCCTCAGGTAAATTGGCATGAAGCCCAGTCTTGCAGAAACTGGGCCTGCCGAAAGCCCTTGGGTTAGGCATGCAATAAAAATATTTTCTGCAGTACACAGACCCCAATAGAGGTAACATGTTTTGAGAGCCCACTATATGCCAGGCCTTGTGTTGGATGTGGGGAGTGCTGAAGCCAGGGAGAAAGTTGTCTAGTGTGTCAGAACCCTTGGTGGTGGTTATGTGTTCACACTGTTATTTGCTCCCTGCACAGTCTGAGCCCTGTCCCTTCTCCTGAGGATGGTTTCTGAGCGAGAGCTACAGGGTGAGGTCCTAAAGTGCCCCCCCACCGAAGTTGCCTGGGGTAACAGAAGACTCTCTCCTCCTTCTCTGGGGCTACCATGAGGGCCTGGGAAATACAAGCCTTTGTCAATAGGCTACTGGACACTCCGCTGTGAGAGGGCAAGCCTACTCTGAGGCCTTTCAAGCCCCTCGGCAGCCAAGAATGCCAGTTGGGGCGAACACCTAATCCCCATCCCACCCTGGCTGGGGAGGTGGGAGGCTAGACCGGCAGGCCACAGGTCTACCAGGTACTAACTAAGTCCCAGGGGCAGACTGGCCCAGAACAGAGCACAGGCTTTATGGAACCAGGCCAACCTGGGTTTGAAATCTGGCTTTGTAAACTTACTAGCTATACAGCTTGGAAAAAAGGGCCTGAACGGTTTTGAGCTTCAGACTTTTTATCTGAAAAATGTGGAGAATAGCATCTTCTTGCAGAGATGTTAAGAATAAAATATTAATGTATAATACAGGACACAAAGTAGACCCAGAAAAAAAGGGCTGTTCAGACCCTCCATCTGCCTTCTGAATGACAGAATCCCTGTTGTTAGGTGCTAAGGCTGAGGTAAAAGGGCTGGGGGGAGGGAAGGGACAACTTCATGCCTGGGGCCTGGCATCCTGGCTGCCACCCTCGGCAGCTCATCCGAGGATCTAATGAGATGACACATCTGTAATGCTCCTGGCTCAGTGCCTGGCACATACCATATGCTCAACCGACAGGAGACATCATCGTTCTTAGTCTAGATTTGTCTCCACGTCCATGAAAAATATTACCTTCTGATCTAGAAAGATCAGGTCCCAGGAGCAGATCTGGTTTTCAAACAAGTCACACAAGGTTCGCAGGATGCCATGGTATTTAGGGCTTGGAAGAGTTTCTATAGGGTGGACCTGTTCTAGGAGGAGACCCGGTGTCCTGTGCTAGGTGGTCTGTTCTGGCATTCCAGGCCCTAAGATACCTGGTCACCCTGAGATCCTTGTACTTCCCTGAGGGTGAAAAGATAAGAGGAAGTAAGATTGTATTTTTTTGATGGGGCTAAAAATTGATCCCCCCTTCCCCATTACTCCCTGTGGGGTCCGGTGGGGCAGGAGAAAAAAAAAAAATCTACTTCTCCTGTCTAACTCCCACAGGATGTAAGAAACTCTCTCCTCCCTGAGGAATTCAGTGCATGTGTGCCAGTCCTTACATGAAGCTCTGGAGGGTCTACCAGGCTAAGTTGGTCTCCGTTGGAAGCATTTAGTTGGAAGAGCTAAAGCCATGGAGGGAGCACTCACTCTCTGCTCCGCATTGTGCCTCCTGGGTGACCAAGGGACTTCAATACTTTGGGCTTTATGCCAATTCTGAATGACCTAGTGTTCACTTCTCATCTGACCTATTTTGTCGTTTATAAAATTCTTTTTAGGGGCGCCTGGGTGGCTCAGTCGGTTAAGCATCTGCCTTCGGCTCAGGTCATGATCCCAGGGTCCTGGGATCGAGCCCCGCATCAGGGGAGCAGGGGAGCCTGCTTCTCCCTCTTCCCTGCTTGTGCTCTTTTTCAAATAAAATCTTTAAAAAAAAAAAAAATTCTTTTCAGTTCTTTGTTCAAGACCCTGCACATCTCACACCTCTTCCAGGATATTTTTCCAGATCTCTGCAGCTGAAACAAATCTGCCCTTGGTTCTTCCATTTGTCTTAGCCCAGCCTGCTTTGTTGTGGTTAATTTTGAAAGAAAACATTTACTGAGCATCTACTCTAGATCTGGATCTGAGCTCCTCTGCTAAGTTTTGAGGTTCTATTGCTTTTTTGAGGTTTTATACTTTTGTTGTATATGGTTGAATTTGCTCATGCTAAATGCACACATAGGGACTCTCCAGTGAGCGGCTGACCACCTGTGATGGGCTGGGCATTCCCATGGTTGTCAGCAAGATGAGTGACAGAAGCTGAGAAACCTGGAGAGCGCTTGCCCTGGCCAGGAGGCAGTGATCGCCATTCAGCTGAGGCCTGTAGGTGAGATCTGGGGAAAAAGGTGACCCCAGCGGGACCAGAGGAAATGGTTTCTCGAGATGCTTTGTATAATTGGTAGCAACTTTACTCAGATAGTCATCTCGAGTTACCACACTTAAATGGACACAGCCTGCAGAAGACTCGAAAGTACATATTCAAATGCACCTCTGTGTCTAGAAAGTGAAAATGGGACTGCACAACACCTGGCGGGGGTGGGGCTGCTCTGGGGAACCTCTGCCCAGGTTCCCATTCATTCTCCTTCATTTCCCTTGACTACTGTTCTTGAAGTTTCCTTCCTTGTAGAGGGAGCTCCATTATCGCACCTGCTAGCCTCGCTCTGCCTCTGGTTTTAGCTCATCTGTAAATTTAGGATGAATAAGCTGGTGGTGCTCAGCTCGTGTACTTTCTTTGCCCTCACAGGGGCCAGCCCGCGCACGGGGATGGATAAACTTGCCTGGTTCCAGGGGGTCAGGCAGCAGGGCTGTTTGTTCTCACACTAAGCTACAAATGCGAACTTAGCTTTCATCAGCAGTCAAGGTATTACTTCGGGTCCCATCTAATATTTTAAAACCTCCCACTTTGCTCAGCACTGGGGGGTGGGGTTGCCAGGCCACTTGGGAAACTGCAGCGGAGCCTAACAGATAAGGCAGGGTCCAGTCGGAGACACAACTCCCTGCGGCCCCCGGCTATCTAGGATATTCTGCTGCCCACAACTTGTCTGAGGCAAGTAACCAGGAGGACTCCGCCTGCACTGGCTGCGTGTGTGTACTTGTCACCTGGGTAGGACCAGGAGCACCTGCCCCAGTCCTGTTGAGCCCTAGAGAAAAGGACGTTCTAATGAGAACGAGCAACTGACGGTCACTTCCAGGGCATTAAAGAAGAAGGCATGCCCATCAGGCCACTGGGACGTCCTGGTTTCTAGCAGAGGAAGTCTGGATTACAGCTATGGTCAACAAGCCATTATGAGTCCCAGTGGATTTTCATGAGCTCATCCAAACATTTTACTCCAGTCCGCTTCATTCTACGGGAGAGCACTAGGCCCTTCCGCCTCGGTCAGTTACTTAACCCCTCGGAGTGTTAGGTTTTCCACCTGTAAAATGCAGGTAGAACTCTGTCCCTTATATGATTGTGAAGATCAAGTGGGACGGTGCTGATTAACACGCTTGGCTCGGTGTCTGGAGATCTAGTAGATGCTCAATAAATCTTCATTAACTTGACTCAATTTATTTAACTACAAAACTAATCAAACTCATTTGGAAGATAATGCTGAACAAGACCCCTCGGGTCTCCACGAAGAAACCTTCGCTGCTATGGAGCCACAGATGCCTACGTTCTCTCTTACTAAGTGATAACTGTCTTCCTGGCCACAGCAGACGTGGAGTGTCTCTAACCACGTGACCCTGCATCTTGGGAGTTAATAACTCCAATGAAACGTAAAAAGCCAACTAACCGACCAAGCACCGAGCTTTTAGTCCCCAGCCGGCCAGGGCCAAGTCCCCAGACCACCATCCCTGTGCAGTGTTCATGGCCACTGTGTGCGGGACAGACCAGCCGCTTCGCAAGGGCTGATGGTGCGCTCTCTCGGAGCCCTGATTTCCTGGGCCGAGAGCCGGACCGTACCTGTAATTGTGGAACCAGTTGATGACGGTGCTGGTTTTCAAGTTGAGCTGGGTGGCGAGTTCTTCGATGGTTTTTGGTGACGGGTATGGCTTTTGCTGATAAGCTCGTTTCAGAGCCTCCTTCTCTTCGGGAGCCAGCACCACTCGGGGTTTCTTTAGCTGGTGCTGGGGCTGGGGGCTGGCGCCCTGGCTGTAGTCAATGCCAACGGAGGGGGGCTCGCAGGGCTGGCTGTCGCTGACTGAGCTGTGCCGCCGCTTCATGTATGCTGAGGGAGGGAGAGAGATCGGACTGAGCTGCAGGCCCCACTGGGAGATCCGGCCAAGCCCCCGACCCCCCAGGGCGCCACGGAGCCCCGTTGGCTCACAATGACTTTTGTGAAGATCGTGGTAGCTGGCTGCTCTGCCCTGCTCTTCCAAAGAGCATCTCAAAACACTTGGACTAGAACCGTTCGCAAACCCAGCACTCACTCATCGAGGACCCGCTTGGCTGCACTGCCAGGCCGCCGGCTGTCCCTGCCAACGGCTTAGTGGGGCATGCAGGGAAGTGTACAGGTGGCCCCGTAGAGCGCAGTGGGGGGGGCAAGCACGGGGGATCATGGAGGGAGGCACTAAGGGAGCACCTGGGGAGGGCTCAAGGGAGGCTTCCCAGGAGAATCTTGAAGGCCAAGGAGTGATTAACCAGAAAAAATAGGTGATGAGGTAGAAGACGGTAAGAGGCTGTTCCAACAAGTGGGACAAGCGTGTGCAAAGACCCAGGGGCATGAGACAGCACAGTTCCAGAGTGTGTGTGCGTGCGCGCGTACGTGCACAAGGGGTGTGGAGGGGGACGCAGGAGCTGGAGAGACAGGCAGGGTCTGGGTAGGCCGGAAGTTTGGACTTGACCCTAAATGCAGTAGGAAGAAATGAAGAGGCTTTAGTTAGAGGGCTGGTATGATGAGCAGCTATACACGTTTTGGAAAGACTCCTCTGGCTGCAGCTGAGGACGGACTGGATGGGAGGACCAGCAGGAGGGCCCTCAGTTAGGAGGTAAGAATGATAAAGATCGGAACTGGGGAGGTGGCGGAGGGGTTGGAGGAAAGCAGAGGGCGTGGAGGTGGTAGGGGCCAGAGCTGACAGGACTGGGGGACAGACTCCTGAGGGACTGAGGAGAGGAGAGTGGAGGAGCCCCCTGGTCTCATGCTGCGAGATGAGGGGAGGGCGCCAGTGTCTCTGGGTTGCCCCCATGGAGATGTCCTGGAGGCAGCGGGACTGGTAGGTAGGCAGCTCAGAAGAACGGTCTGGGCTAGAGAGAAGAATTTTGGACCACTGGGACAGAAACTACGGTTGCAGTCTATGCCGTCGAGGAGAAAGACCAGGGCTGAGAATGGAACCCTGTGGTACACCCACGGGCAGAGGTAACCCCGGAAAGAAGCAGCTATGAGGGATCCAGAGACGGGAGGAAAACCAGGAGACAACAGTGGGAGCAAAGGGATGAGTGAGGAGAGCCGATCAACAGCATGCAGAGAGTCTGATGAGCCCCCAGGAGGCCCTCTGGCTTTAGCGGTTAGGACAGCACTGGGGACCGCGGTGAACAGGTGCAGTGTCGCTGTGGGAGAAGCCAGGTGGCAGGAGGCAGAGTACTCAACGGGAGGTGAGGTGAAGGCAGTGAGCACGAGTTCTTACGTTAAGACGCCCAAATGTAAAAGAACAGCGAGAGACAGGATGGCTTCTAGAAGGGAAATCCAGGGCTGAGGGCGGATTTAAAGATGAGAGTGAGCTGACAGTGTTTCCACAGCTGAGGGGAGAGAGCTGGTGGTACAGGTGAGAGAGAGAATCACCGCAGGTGCCGCGGGAGGCAGGACGGGTGGGGGCGGGGGCTGGAGGTGCAGACAAGCTGACAGGGACTGAGGTGGGAAAGCTGGGGGCCTGCGTTCTCCTGAAGGAGGAGGGAGGCAGGAGCAGAGGTGATCTGAAGTGATGGGGACGGAGTCTTGAGCGGGGTGAAGGAGGGGGGGCGGGGGTGGGGAGAAGAGCAGGGGACCCCGCTGAAGCTGGAGCCCCAAATCTGAGGCAGCTCCAACCCACGTAGAGCTGGGATGCTCAGGTCCCAGAAGCCAAGGAGGATGGGTGGAGAGAGCCAGCGGAGCACTAATCCAGGGCTGGGATTTGCAGGGGGACGGGAATGGGAAGGTGGAGAGAGAGAAGTCCGTCTCGGACAATGGCAGAGCATCCTGGAGTGATGGATCAAGGAGTCTGGGATGTTGGCGGAAGGAGGCAAGGGCACCAGATGGCAAAATGATGGGGCAAAGCATGGGACCCCAACCCTAACCCTAACCTCTCCAGCAAATGAGTCCTCCACGGTGAGCTTTCTAGTGGGTTAGCTTGGAATATAGTCTGAAAATCCCTTAAAACTTCTTAAAACGGATGGAAGATGGGACGTAACATTACGTAATTCAAGCAGCAGGTGGGGAGGAAGAGCGGCTGTAGCAGTAAAGCCAACCTCTGTCGAGCGATCCTCCCAGGGATGCCCCGCGAGAGGGACCAGGACCGTCCTGGTGTACAGATGGAGACCGAAGGCCAGGGTCACACAGCTGGTACGTCTGACCTACGTCTGCTCTGTCCTGCCTGATGGTGGCCAGCGCCCCAGCCCTGCGGCAGCCCTCACATTCGGGTCACAAATAAACGTCACAGGAGAGGACTATGGGTGGTCAGAGGAGCCCACGAGTTAGCCCAGGCGGTGCGTGCGTGCGTTGCGTGAGTGCGTCTGGGGGCCGGGGGCTGTGTGAACAGGTTGGTTCAAGGGCCATCTCATAAAGGGACAGAAAACAGAAGGCAGACCAGGGTGGACACAAAATGTTCAGAGGAAAGGAAGAAGGAAGGAGAGCAATAAAACATTCGAGCTAACGGGAGAAGCACGCAAAGCTTTCGTTCGGGAAGAGAAGGAAGCAGAGAGCACGTGGGATCACCCAGTGCGGTCTAGACTGGGAGCACGATGGGCTTTCATCTATTTTAAAGGAACCCAACTTATTTTAAAAACTCATTTGCTGAGCAGTTGTGTGTGCTGGTTGCTACGCTTGGCATGTTCTTTCTGATGCTCCAACCTGGAGAAGTTCACATGAGCGGCCTCATTCTACAGAGGCAGAAACTTAGGCCAGGCAGTGACTTAACTAACTTGCCATTTTAGGATTATATCTAGGAACACCGTGGAGAAGGCAAATCTTCCCCAAAGAGAATGAATATGATATAGCCAGTGGCCAGAAAGAACCCAGCCCAGTGTGTCCAGCTGGCCGCTCCCATCGGGCGGACATCACGGGAAGCGCTATGCTCTGGCTCACCCACTGGTGTGTCTGGGGAAGGCTCCTCGAGTGAGCATCCCTGCTAGAGGGAGGGAGAAGACAGTGGGCCCACAGCTGCTTTTAGGGACCTTGGGATGGATGTGAGGAGGGGCCTGGGCCCGGCGGAAACAGTAACTCTTCTGAAACACAAGATGGCGCCCAGAGCCCGTGCTGAAGGAGCGGAGGCCTAGGAAGCCCCCAAAGATCTACTTGTGGGGGCAAGGGTCCTTTTCTAGTGGCCTCCAAGGACAAACAGACCAGGGGGTGACAGAACCAGGGCTGTCCCTCTCCTGATGCCTGCAGCCATGGGGGGCTGCTTAGGGGGTGGCCTCGGAGGGCTGGCCGGGGGGGCTCCCAGGGAGCTCAAGGAGGCAGGCACTGCCTTTTGCCAGTGTGCAGGAAGTTTTCATATTGCTTGGGTGGGCACTGATAACCGCTGAAACTCGGTAATGGATATACTGGGTTCATGGTACCATTCTGCTTTTTGGTTTGAAATTTCCCAAGGTAGAAAGTTAAAAAACTTTTGGGGGTTATGTGGCACCAGGCATCTGTGGCCGCCCAAAGGGCTGTGGACTGTGTCAGGGCCTTGGTCTACACCCCGGAGGGCAGGCCGGAGTCCACCGGAGGGCCCTGCGTGCAGTGGAAGGCCGCTGCGTGGGCCCACTGGTCCCAGGGTGGCAGGCTCCGGGCACAAGGGAGCACAACACACATCGGAAGCACCGGCTCCAGAGTCGGCCGGCCTGTGATTCTGGATTCCTGCTCCCTCCTTCCTCCTTCTGCCAGTGGTTGATATCAGGCAAGTCTCATAACGCCAGAGCCCCATCTTTCCTGGAGAATGCGCCTACACTGGACAGAGCTGGGCAGGGGGGGGACTGTGTGAGGTCTCAGCACAGCACCTGGTGAACAGGAGGCCCGACCCCACGGAGCTCTCGGAGGAGACACCAGAGATGCTCACTTCCTCCTGGAGCTCTGGCCCTTGCCCTGGCTGGGTGACAAACGTGCCACCAGGCCGACTGTGAGCAGCAGGCTCTCTTGGTGAACTCAGAGGATGTAGGCCCGGGCTCCATGCCCAGCCCCTGGCTCAGACACGCCCCGGCCACACAGGCACGTGATGCCTCGCCTCCACATCTAAGGGATTCTGATTCGGCCACTTCGTGAGCTTACAGCACTGTGCCCTCTGAGGGGAGGACCCACGAGCGAGGAGCCGCAGGTAGGAGTGCAAATGAGGGGACAGAGCAGACATTACTTTGCACCACCAAGGTGCCCTAAGAAGGCTGGTCAGCATTTGAGAGGGCTCCAGATGCATATAGAAAGAAGAGCCGCACTTGGCCCTCAAGGGGGCTGAGTCCTGCAGAGCCCCACAGACCATAGAGTAACAGCGAGAGAGACCTGCTCTGGCAGGAATTCGCTCTTCTGTTTTCCAGGCTGGGTGACCTTAATGAAGGTGCCCAACTTCTCTAAACCCGAGTTTTCCTTATCTACAAATGTGTTTATGAATGATCTCGCCAATAAGATACGATACGGAGGGCCCTGGCACGTGAAACACGTGCACGAGACGAACTGCCCCACGTACCCGCCAAGACAAAGACCATAAACAAATGGGCCACCACCACCGAGTGCTGTGATGTTCACCTCTTGGTGGCCTTATAAGAAGAAAAAGGGTACAGTGACCACCAGGGCGACTGTAAGGAACCGTCCGGGTGCCCCCCAACGCCAAAATGTATTTTGGGTTCAGTCTGCTGGGGAGAAAAAGTCACAAATCTTCCCAGTCCTCGTAGGTCCTCGCCAGTTGATGATTGTCAAAAATCCCTTTGCCCTGCCTGACCACAGATCAATGTCTCTCACCAGCTCTGCACATAGGCTTCAAAAGAAACGGCGCATTCGTAGATGAGAAGGCAACTGGCCAGAGTGGGTGGTGGGGCTTACCTTTCTTTTCCATACGTTTCATGTCCATCAGCTTCTCCACGTTGTTGGGGTCATTCAGCCATAGCTGCATCCGGACAAAGGGCTCCCGTCCCTTCAGACTGAGCTTGTGCCAGGGCTTTGGGCGAGCAAGGAGATCGGAGACGGAGCCTTGGGTGAGCCCTAAGATGGTCTCCCCAAATAAGCGCTGACCTGGTGAGAAAACAGAACCGAGAGAGACATTACGACGGAGACCGAGGGATCTGGAAGGACAAGTATGAGCCAACGTTAAAGTCAGACATGGGGTCTGAAACCCTGGAGTCTGGCCAGCCGGGGGCTGCCTCGGAGCAAGCACTTTCTAGAAGCATTTCTTCAGGGGCGCCCTGGGTGGCTCAGTTGGTTAAGGGGCTGACTCTTGGTTTTGGTTTAGGTCTTGATCTCGAGGTTGTGGGATGGAGCCCCATGGTGGGCTCTGCACTCGGCGCGGAGTCTGCTTGAGAGTCTCTCTCCTCCCTCTCTCTCCTGCTCACGCATGCTCTCTAATAAATAAAATCTTTTTTTTTAAAAAGCATTTCTTCAACCAGACTTGTGACAAACTCCACTGATGATGGAGTCAGTATAACTCCTGCATTCTGTGGGCACACGACAACGTTTCTCTCAAAAAAGCCTCCAGGCTTTGGATGTACTGAGGCCTGGATAACACACCTGCGGCGCTTATCAGAGGTGGTTAATCCCTCACCCAAGCTCAGGAGGTTAAGTAGCACACGGGGAGCCCTCTCTTATACAACCTCAAACCACAGGGCTGTCTGGCTCCTTTCACGATTAGCAAGGTTATCCGGTCTTGCTGAGAAAACAGGCCACTTGACCCAAGGTCACAGCAGGAAAGAGAAGGAGAAAGAGCCCCTCAGCTCTGTTTTTCTGAAAAGCAGGCCATTTCCAATTCTAAAGTCTATTCCCGCAGTCTAAGCTGCCTCTGCTGACTGGAGCTCAAAGGGGATCAAAACCCCTTCCTCGATGCCTTTTCTCCGAGGCCGTGGTGGGCAGCCTGCTCCCCAGGCTGATCAGAGGGAATTCTGCTCTGGAGAGCAGAGCGGCCCCAGGTTGGCCATGTTCGTCAGAGGCTTAAAAAGAAAATGTCTCTTCTCTGAGAGCCATTCAGCTGCAGGTTAAGAGGGGCCAGCACTTTTGAAGGCGCAAATGAGAAATCAGGGACAACCTGAGCGACCAGATGGGAGAAGGTGAATAATAGGACTTATTAGGTGGAAATGGAGACTGGGATCAGACAGGCCAGTGTTTGGTGCCACACAGCGTAGGGAACATGACCCCCGGGCCCAGAGCAGCTCTGCCCCTCCGTGGCAGGGTGACCGTGGATGACAGACAGGCTCACGCCCTCCATCTGCGAGAAACACCACCAAGGAGTTCGCTATGTTCAGGAAAGTGATAGATGTAATAAACAGCTGGTTACTACTTGCTTGACCCACCTTGTTGGGGGGGGGGAGGGGAGGAGAGGAAATCATATGAATATTCTTGGAAATTTTTATTACTTCTAGAGGTTTCATAGCAGCGACTCTCAATCATTTTTGGGTCATGGACCTACTTGAGAACCTGAAGAAAGCTACTGACCCTTACCCGATAAAATGTGCGCACACGTGCACTCTGCTTATGATTTCAAGAGACTGACCCATGAACACGTCAAGATCTCAAGTCAGAAGTGAAGAGGATGCCTGGGCCTTATAGCTGCATTATTCAGCTATAACTTGGCCCCCTCCGTGCCCATTACTCCACTGAGAGACCCCAGCAGGGGAGGCACCTTCCACCCTGGAAAAGCTAAGACCAGCTATAGCAACCACCGAGAGTGCTTCTCAGCTCCATGGTGGCACTGCTAGGGAGCTCTTCCGGAAGTTCCTGCTCCGATAGGAGGAAGTCCTCTCTCTCTCTGGGGTGGAAAGTTTCACCCCTGATTTTGTGCTTCACGGCATTTGAAAATGGGAGTTCGACAGGCCAGTGGGGTTCTACTGCGGTGGCACACGACCAACACCAGCCAGAACTCCAGCAAGGATGGAAACGGGGATGGGAAGGCCAAGGATGAGATTTTAATGTTATGACCTCACAGCTGTGATCTTGCAACTTCTCAGTGGCTTATCTGTCTATTTTTTAAAAAGATTTTATTTATTTATTTGAGAGAGAGAGACAGAGTGCACTGAGGCAGAGTGAGAGCGAGAAGCAGACTCCCCGCTGAGTGGGGAGCCCGATGCGGGACTCGATCCCAGGACCCTGAGACCGTGACCTGAGCCCAAGGCAGATGCTTAGCCGACTGAGCCACCCAGGCGCCCCTTCTCAGTGGTTTAAAGGGAGTTTTCTTCAGCTGCTTGCCCATGACTACAGAAACAACACTTCCTATAAGGGAGTGGGCAGCAATAATCTATCGGGCCTGCTTCTCTGGAGTCGTGATAAGACTGTAAGGTAGGGGATGACCTGTGTTTAGGAATCCCTGCGTATTTCAATCATTGATGAACATGCGGGACTTCACGGCCATTTAAAAAAATCAACAGCTAAATTTTATTTCTTTGAATTAACTTAATTAAAAACATTCTCAGTTGACATTACTTTTTCTCTTGTTCTGTTTTGTGCAAGCAGTGGGACAGAGGACCTTAACCAGGCAAGCTGGCCGCTGAGCCTCCGAGCTGTGAAGTTACCACACATACTTCCCTGAAACTCACTTCACTGCTACTCCTTTCTTTTCCTATCCCCTGGGAAAAACAGACATGCAAGGCCCCCCTGCAAATTCCAGCCACTCTTCGGGGTTGTCATAACATGTACCGCATAGAACAGTGCTCCTTAATTGACATCTACACTTGGGAAGTAAGGACAGAAGCGTTTGGGGGACTTGGGGCGCCTGGATGGCTTAGTCGGTGAAGCTTCTGACTCTTATCTCAGCTCAGGTCTTGATCTCAGGGTCGTGAGTTCAAGGCCCACATTAAGTGTTTGGGGAGGGGCTGTTTCCAGTCTCTGGGTGGCCAAGCCTGGAGAACCCCATGTGGTCCCTACTGAACCACAGGAGCACAAAGGTTTAAAATGACCAAATGCTCTAATATTCCTAGCATCACAGCTACTGACTGTGCCACAGAGCCCTCAGGGGAGAGCCGCCTCAGGTGGGGCATGCACGAAGCTAACCGCCTGGGTTTGCGGTGAACCCTCGAGGGAGGAGTGGCGAACTCAGTTCCGTAGGAGCTCTCTACTGCCTCCCAGTGGAGGGCCTGGGGAAGGGAGCCGGCATCATCAGGCAGGAGGTGGGGACAATAATGGACTATTAGCTGCGGGCAGGGTGCTACTCAACAGGCCTAAGTCGGGCACTGCTGTCCCAGAGGTACAGGGGAGGCTCCGAGAGTAGCTTGCTCAGGATGATGGACAGAGCAAGAGGAAGAACTGGGATATGAACCCAGTCTGGGGACTCTCCCAACACGCCATGGGATGGGCTGGGCTGACGCTGCTCGGGCCCAGCACTGGTGCCCTCGAGAACCGGGAGTTCCACCGGGCATGCCCCAGTCAGGCGGTCTCAGCGCCTGGCCTGAGTCCACTCCAGCCGCATGGGTATCCGCTAAGAGGTCCCAGTGGGGGCGCTGTGGCGGGGGAGCGGGGGCAGGAGCAGGCCGGGACTGACCGCCCTCAGGAGCCCTCGTGTTCACAGCCGGAGGGCACTGTATGTTCTTAGAGGTAGCTTATCAACGTTTAAACCTGTTGGCTGGCTCAGCCTGAGTGCCCTCCACCCATCCCTCCAGAAACCAACAGGAAGCAACCTGGCACCCCCGACTTGGCAGCCAGGGAGGGAACCTACCGAGATTGTTGTCCGTCAGCACCTCCTTGACTCTCTTGGTGATGCCGTAGGTGTCCAGCTCTGGAGACATGGCTACCAGCTCTTGGATGCTGAGGGCCGAGTGTCCGGAAAGAGGCAGAGGGGTGGTGGGCTGGGAGTCTGAGGCAGGTGGGTCACTGGGCTCTTGTGGTTTGCCATCCTTACTCGTTTCAATGGGGGGACAGGGCTGTTGGACCAGCTCAGTCAAACTCTTGACGGATTCGCTAGAGCTCATCGGTGACTCGGGTGCAGGGCTGCAGCTGGCAGAGGTCTTTGGAGTGCTTTCTGTAATTAAAGCACACGACAATCCGGGGCTGAAAATAGCTGTCTTTCACGGCGCACGTCTACTTTCCTTACCTAGGAAGTATCAGTGAAATGCCCGTGCAAGCATACAGCATGGCAGCTATGGTTCTAAGGCTGGGAGAAACCTCTAATGTTCTGTCTTACAGAATGAAACGTAACGGCAACAGAAGGAAAACTCGGGAGTTAAACGAAAGGTTTCTGAAGGCCCAATGTAAGGGCATTCTGTTGAGAAACTGCTGTCCTATGAACCACGGGCTCACGCAGTCGTGATTTCTTCCAATGGGAACCCCTCATTCCCTAATTCAGAAGGACCTTGGCTAACTTATAATTTGCAGATTTATTCTGTCCATAATTTCCAGAACAAAATGAATGGGTGGGTTCTTTTAAATGAGGGCTGCCCACAGGGCGTGGCCACCATGGTTATGAAGACCCTCCAAGAGGAGGCGTAAGGTCTCGGCGGCTGGCCCCAGCTGGGGGGCCCCGGACCGAGTCCCGGGACTTCATGTGGGTTCTTGCTGTGACCCCGGAGGGCTCCATAGCACCCAGCTGGAGGGAGCCGACAGAAGAGGAGCACCCACTCTGTTCCCTGTCAAACGCTAGGACGCGAGTTTGAAGGCGGAGCTCTGTTTATCTACGCCACCCATGCAGGGTGGCAGCCAGGTCTCCATGCTCTCCCTTCTTAAGAAGGGTCTCTGTCCCATCGCAGGTGCCCAGGGGGGAGTGCCACCCCATGCTCTGTTGGGGAGCGGTCCCTTCTGGTCTCCCTGTCAGCATCACCCGTGAAACCCAGCATCCATTTTAGTTTTGGGATGTCTGGAATAAAGGCTTTGGCCATTTCCTAATTACCAGATACAGAGAGAGGTTGTGTCCGGAAGGAAAGTGCAGAGTGATTTAGCACCGTGGTCCTACCCATGAGGTAAAATCTGCCGATGGCTTGGGGTCTGGTATGGTCTCCCCCGACCCCTCCCCAGCCCCCCCATCAAGCAGGGTACATGGTAAGACCGCACGGCACCATGTGTGAGGGGCCAGGCCAGGTGTCTTCACATGGGTTCTCTGGCCCCAGAGAGATGATATGTTTCAGAAAGCAGGCCACTCACGGAACATCAGCACACATGGGCGCCCCCCTCCCAAAATACTCACTACCTGATGAAACAAAATGTTAACACTGAGTGATGACTGAATTTCAAATGGACATAGACATGGGGTATCCTTTCCTGGACATACCATATCCAGGATAACAGCCTACTCTGAACTCAAGAGGATGGGAAACGTATTCCGAATACAAGGGCTCTTTCATATAAACACCTAGAAAGATAAAATCCCAAATAAAACAACTGCAACTCAACCGATAAACCTGTTTATTGTTCTAAGCAGGAACAGAGTTCCACCATCACATAAACCTGTGTCCTCAACCTCGAAAATCTGGCTTAAAAAAAAACCACAACCCACTGGTTTGTGAAAGATGTAAAAGAGATAGGCGTAAACAGCAGAAATGATCCATATAAATCTTTAAGGCAATATGAATCCTACAAATCGGATTTCTTCTCTCTGCTCACCTCCAGGTCATCAAACAACTGGATATAAAACCCAGCAAATGTTATTTTTGTATCTGAAGCAGCAAAGAAATTGTACTGTAAATTTGCCCTGATTCACCCATGCGAGGGACCGATTTGGCAGATCATCCGTCTTGCTCACTGCAGACTGTCAAGGATGGTACGAATCCCCACATGATAAACAGATTCCTTCTCAGGTTTGTGTCCTGTAACCCACAGCAAGGTCAAAAGCATGGCTGCCTGCCTGACAGACCGCACGGAGCCACTGCCCTGGTGCTTCCCATTTTGTGCGGCGCCAGCCGAGACGGAGCTCCCGGCTCAAAGCCCTTAAGATCAAAACCCCACCTCGGCCTTGAAAGGTACCGGGAGTGTGCTGCCGGGCTGGTGTGCATTGGACTCTGCTCTGAGTCTGGGTCTAAATGTAACAGACAAGTCGAAGCTGAGTGCTCTTTCTGGGGGATGTTATTCACGGACAGACACATGTGCACACAGATAACCACTGCGCTCTCAGCTCATGGAAAGCAGAATCAGGCCCCCCATGTTTGGATAGGCACGGACAGATGCAATAGCAAATGGCCCCATTGGAGACCCCATGAGTTCTCATGCTGAGAACATCACTGTGGAAAGAGTCACTTCTATTTTTTTTTTTAAGGTTTTTATTTATTTATTCATGAGAGAGAGAGAGAGGGAGGCAGAGGGAGAGGGAGAAGCAGACTCCCTGCTGAGCAGGGAGCCTGATGTGGGGCTTGATCCCAGGACCCCGGGATCATGACCTGAGCCGAAGGCAGACGCTTAACTGGCTGAGCCAGCCAGGTGCCCAGAAAGAGTCATTTCTTTAGAAAGCTGTTTCCAGTAAGCACCCAGCTCCAGCACCCGAACCAGCAAACTCAGTAACCAAAGCCAAGCCAGAAACAAGCTCCAGAGCCCCCCGCAAGGCGGCCCCGCCCCTGGGTGCAGGAAGGACATGTGGTTGCCTGTCCTTGACCATCTTGACAGAACAAGAGATGCTGTCCAAAGAAAAGAAGAAATATTACTTTTTTTTGTTTTGTTTTCCAAGTATCAGTAAACAGAGGCTTCTGTCTAAAGCAATACTTTCCGAAGGTGAAGGAATAAGGCTTTCTTCCACTCCATGTAATTAAAAATAATTAAAAAAAAAAAAAGCAGGAGTCCTGGGCTTGGCATTAAGATATGAACTCGGGGATGGGGCTACCTCTACTAGCCGGCTGTGTTCACAGGAATGACATTCACAACTTCTTGGGACATCTGGCTTCCTCATCTGGAAAATGCCAACAGTGTTGCAGTGAGGACTGAACCTCCCACATGGCTGGTGCTAAGAAACACAACCTGAATTTGATGGGTTTGTTTGTTTGTTTTGTTTTTAAAAGCAGTTATTAAATTGTACTGAAATGTATTTGTTGGGACGCCTGGGTGGCTCAGTCGGTTAACTGTCCAACTCTTAGTTTTGGCTCAGGTCATGATCTCGGGGTTGTGAGATCAAGCCCCACGTCACGCTCCATGCTCAGTGCAGAGTCTGCTTCTCCCTCTCCCTCTGCTCCTCCCCCAGCTCATGCTCTCTTCTCTCAAATAAATAAAAAAAGAAGCCTTATTTTATCATCATTTGTAAGAGCAGCTCCTATGTACGCTAACATCATTTCTCATGCACTCCCTGCATGCCAGGCCCTGGGCTAGGGCTCACGAGAATGACCAACCGCGCTCCTCACAAGGACCTCAGTGTGAGGCAAGTATATCCATTTCCCTCCTTTGACAGACTTAAGATGCCCTGTCTGGTGACACAGCCAAGAACCGGTCAGATGTTCTGTATTCAGAACAGCCCACCCATACGGTGGGGCCCGAAACCGGGTGTCCATTCGTGGCAGCACGACTGGGCCTGCCTTCCAGGACACGACTGCTCTACAGTCCATATGTCACCATGCATGAATCTCAAAAACGGGATGGCCAGCACCCAAAAGCCAACCCACTACTGGGATTAGGGAAGGGAACCAGAATGCACGTAGTACCCAGTGATAAACGGAGGGCGTTTACACACGGCTGCATCCGATTCTCCGCACTCCAGGCGGGGAAACCAAGGCACAGACAGGCAATATGACTTGTCCAGGTCACGTGGGTGAAGGATCTGAACCAGACTGAGAGTGGAAAGCCTCCGTGTTTCCACCCACCCTTTGTCTGGCAGTCACTGGAGTAGCCGCGTGCCTGCCCTTCATTCATTTGCTCACTCGCTCGCTCAGGAATTCTGAAAGCGCCTACTCTGTGCCATGCAGTCCGCTGGGCACTGGGGATAAGAGAAATCAGATACCCATTTTGCTTTGGCGGCGCCCGCAGACAGCAGGACTGGGCCAATCGAAAACGGGCAATTTGCATACTGGGAAAGCCCCTGCACACAGCTCATCTACCCGATATTGACAGCAATACTAAGGTGTTACATTAAGAAGTGACCCATGTGGATTACATTTATTTTTTTTTTGCAAAGCTTCGAATCTTGCACAGGAGTCGCTTGGTTAGTAAGATACAGGGAGCAGAGGCAGTGACTTGAGGCCCTCCGAAATTCATGAGGCATCCAGGAACTATAAAAGGATTATGAAAAATATTATATTCCAAAAACAGCAGGCAAACAACAGCTGCCTTAAGTTTTCAACAGAAGTCAGTTGAAAACGCTCACCCGCCATAATTTCCAGAGACACATCTCCCTGCAGTTTATCCGATCCACCGTTGAAATTTCCATACCCGGCCCTCTATCTGCAGTAATAATAACCCAAATTCCATTTAGTGTTCATTTGAGCAGTCAGGATAAAGTCATTTCTTATTATCTCCCCACTGTGTAAAAAACAGCTTGAAGGTAGGAAGTCAGCAAGCATTTTCACCAAAAAGTAATTATTGTAAGTGACATTTTTACTGCTGGCATGCCATAAGGCGAACTGTGCATTCAGAAGGACAAGTTGCTGAAACAAAATGACAGGGTACTCTGTGACATTCTGACAAGAACCCAAACATTATTTAACTGGTGGCTGGTCTGATGCACCACTTTTCATTATGTCCATAGTTTAGGCTTTGAGCCCCTGCCAAGCCAGGAAATTCCAAGTGACTATAAAGACAGACAAGTATGGGGAGATGGGAGACAGGAGGGAGGAGTTGGGGGGGTGGGGGGTTGCCGAACAGAGCCGGGGAGCAGCATGGCCGGGGGCCGGCACGTGGAAATGGGAGCGAGGGAGGAAATCAAGGAGACAAGGAAAAGGGGGTGCACGGGGGAGGGGCAGAGTGGAAGACGGAGCCAGAGGGGGGATGGCAGGCTCTCCAGCTGCGGCTCTACGGTGGGGCCAGGGTGTGCAAGAGGTCCTGAGGCACCTGGTGCTGGCATCCTGGGTCCAGCGGGAGCCCTGGTGGCCTGGAAGGACCTGCCCAGCTCGAGGCCTT